AGCAGTCATGTGATCCCCAATACCTCAGCCAGCTTGCCGGCCGTCCAAGTCGCCGCCAGCCGCTGCCCTCGTCACCGTCGGCTGACTCATGTCGATTCCACAGGACGCCGCCCTCGTCACTGGTGGTCGCCATCACATCCCCGTCCTCGCCGGTTCCAGCAGGATGTCGCCTCCACTAGTAGCAAATTAAACGACGCCGTTGTTGCAGCACCTAGCCGTCACCGTCGTATCACGCCCGTCGTCGCACCACCATGCCTCCGGCCGCAACACTCAGTGTCGCCGCTCGCACCCAATTGAAGCTTTTTCTCATGTTGGTCGAAGCTTTTTTCTACCCGTCGACTCTCGCATGGGGTTGAAAGAACGACGACGAACTCCATTTAAATGGATGTAGCAAAAATGCTCGCAGGTTGTAGCAAAAAACAGTGACGGCTGCAGCAAAAACGTCGTCGCCGCTGTCCGGGGTCGCATCTCCGCCATTAATGAATGGAGCAAATATCTTCGTCGGTTATAGCAAAAGCCGATGATGGTTGCAGCAAAATAACCATCTCCATCGTTGCGGGTCGTAGCTCCGCCATTAGTGGATGTAGCAAAAAATGTGTCTGGTTTCAGCATACAACGACCAAGGTCGCAGCATGCAGCACCCGCCACCCTCGAGCTTGCAGCTCCATGATGGTGTGGGCATGGCCATAGTCGCCATGGTCGCATCACCGACAAAAACGGATATAGCTTTGCGAGCTGCGCTTGCAACTTCTTTCCCCACCCCCGTCGGAGCTTCAGCCAGCAGTGGTGAACATGGATCTTGCAGACGACCAGGGGAAAGAAAAAAATATGAAGGCTGAGCAAAAAAAAATGTCATGGGCGAAAGGCACGTAGTGGACCAAGGAGAAAAAAAGAACGACACGAAACTGGATTGGGAGACGTGTGTCGGTGTGTGCACTGGATCCCTGCGCGATCGAGTGGCGCGCGTGCGACCGGCCGAAGTGTTCGGCCGGCGTGTAGATGCCAAACGTTTTCCTTTTATTATTGATGATTTATTTTTTTTCTGTCCTTCTCGTTTGGGGATTAACCTCAAGGCATGTACAATGGTTCTATCTTAGCAATGCCACGTAGGATGAATGATGAGGTGGAGGAGAGAGAATTCATAAGAAAAGGCTTGCCTTCTCTTATTTAAAAGAAGACAAGAGATGATCTCTTAGCACAATATGTCTCACCATGTTTTTAGAAATAGCTAGTTATTGAAGATAAGACTAAGAAATGACCCATTGTAGACATGTTTTTTTGTCATCTCTTAATTACATGCAAGACTTAAGAGAAAACTATCTTATCAACCATTGTACATGCCCTCACGGGTCTTCTCCTGTGTACTACTCCCTCCGCTCCGAATTATTTGTCGCAACTAGAACTAAAAGATGTCTAAATGCATCCATTTCTACGACAAGTAATTTGGAACGAAGGGAGTACCATTCTCATATCCATTTTTCTTTCCTTTCACACTTCACACTGCACCAGCCCTCTGGAAATTGTTATGGGACAGAGGGAGTATTTTCATATTCTTTTAATACTGGAAATTGTTTACTACTAGTGGCGTGTGGTAATTGTATTGGCACTGTATCCTCTATCATGGAGTAATAGCCTGTTCGTTTATCTAGGTTTCATTTACTCCGCCCACCGCATCGAGACAAAACCACCAGAAAATGGCCAGGAGGCGATCGACGGGGAGAACTTCGGGTCCCGTCGACGTCGACGTCGACATCGACGGAATCCCCAGCCTGACCCGAGCGAGCACGGGGACGGGGAATCGCTGGTTGGTGCTGCTTGCGCGACCTCGCGTACGCTATCAGCGCCGCAGGGGTGGCACCCCACCCTGTGCAATGGAGGTGCTCGACGAAATGTCGAACCGGACCTTGACGCTCCAGGCTCAGCAGTGCACGCTCCACAGGCGATCGACACAATGCCTGAGTGGAGCAGCTGTCTCTGGGGTCGGCTGCTCGGGCGTGCCCGGTATGCTGCTGCGCTTGTACTAACCATCTTTGAGCACTGCGATCTCTTCCCGTGTCCAGGTATGGTGTCTCTTTTGGCAATCAAAACTTAGTGCTGGAATGTCATCTTTCACTGTCGAGGAGACATCTGTGCCGCTCTTACTTTTTCATGCCTGTCGCTTTTGACAAGGTACGCATTGTATTCCAAATGAAGTACTCCCATGATGTGATGCTTCTGCAAATATGGGTACCAATCATGTGTCTTTGGATTCCTCAAAAAAATCATGTATCTTTGGGTCCTCTTCTCATCATCGACCGGGTCCAGCTTTTGTTTGTACAAGGTTGCAGCTCGCACCCAACTCCTTAAAGCCACTTGAGCATGTAGATAAACGTGACCTGATCAGCATTCCCCAGGCCCCATGATCTTTTTGTATTTCCTTTTCTTTTTAAAGTTTTCATGCTGTGCTTCTTGTTTGGAGTCTCCACTGCACTTCTTGTTCACGCCAAACAACCATTCTCATCTCTATGCAACAGCTACGAACCCGCAGCCCAGCTCGATATCCGAGAATTTAACAGTTGAGGCGTGTGTGTTTTTTTGGGTCAAACTGTAGTCATCCAGGGAGGACTAAGTTGAGGCGCGTGTTTGTTCATTACTTTCGTTGTGTTAGGTTCTCTTCTGACTCCAAAGTGGTCCCAATGAGATCATATATTCATATTGATCTGGATGCGCACTGTTTCTGCATATCACATATGACTAGGTAGAACCTAATAAGCTATCAGATGATAGCCTGATACATTGTTTTGGGG